CTTCTCCTTTTATTTGATCTAATTCGTTATAATATTACATATGAACTTAGCCTGGTTTGATTAGAAAGTAAATTTGCCTGTCACAATATGGCTATGGTGCCGTTGCTACTGGATGCCACGCTTCTATAGTTACTATGACAACTCAACGTCGCCGTAAAAACAACTCCGTAAAAACAAGGTCAAAAAAATGTTCCCGAGCAACACCAAAGCAAAAGAAAAAAAACAAAACAACTCAAAGCTTTTATGTAAAATATATATTTAACAAACTCACACACATACGAGTGGTGTTTTATGTTCCAACAATATTTTTTTTAATTATTTTATTCGGCAGCGGAACTGCTTATTTCGCATTGTGTTGGGGACCGGAAACAAAGCTGATTAACAAACGCCTCGCTGGTAACGGGTGTGTGTGTTAACCGCGTAGAAAATGTTCAAGAACACGTTCCAAAGTGGGTTTTTGTCTGTACTGTACAGCATCGGCAGCAAACCGCTGCAGATATGGGACAAAAAGGTGAGTAGAGATCTGGAATTGACCGGGTGAGCCTCTTCCGGTGTGAGCATTCACTGCTAGTGATGCTAAAGCTACCTGGTATCATGTGGTACTTTCATAAAGTTATGCATTTTGCTTAGATATTTCCATTAGCGTTATTTATTTATGGTAAAAATTTTTAAATATATATCGTTTTATTTAGTAGATTATTCCAATACTAAGTTACACACATTTTTGCTGAATGTAGAAAATCAGCAGGCTTAGAGAACCAATTAAACATGTATCCTAAAACCAACATAAAGAAAAACAATCAAAATCAGAAACAAAGATAAGTTTTCTCAGGTGTTTTTATACGTTGCTATGGGAACAGATCCACACGAATACACTGCGCCTTTTAACATATGAGTTTATATGCTGAAGGTGCTACTAACAAGTTTGAATGTATTTAATGTTAGACAATCTGTATCTGCAGCCACAAGAACTTGACAAACTGCACTTTTTTTATTTTTGGCTGAGTCTGTTTAACCATAGTTTGCTGATTAAAATCCTTTAGTAGCAACTCGAGACTTGTTTGCCATCGATCAAGTATGTATTTAGATTTCATTCTATAGAATGAGAGTACTACTCAGTAACTTCATCAGCTTTCAAATATTTATCGTGATATTTATACCATGTATAGTGAGAGATTGCTTGGGGGAATGCTTTATGGATATAATGTGTATGCATATGTTTTTATGCAAAATGTTATTATGATTACGACAATGTCAAATATAACGATTGGAATATTCAAGACAAAAGACTTATGCACACCCTTACATATATAATTTGCACAGAAGTAACAGTGCTTTGCCTTCATGGTGAAAAAGAGAACAAAGAAAACCGATATTAAGAGAAATTGTAGGGGTGTGGTGGCCTAGTGGTTGGAATCTAGAGGTTCTGAGTTCGAGCTCCACTCTCACAGATGACACTCTGGGTCCCTGAGCAAGGCCCTTAACCCCACACTGCTCACTGGGCGCTGCACAATGGCAGCCTACTGCTTTCAAAGGGGATTGTTTATATGCAGAGTTGATTGCATTGCTTTGTACTTGTGACAGTGTAATGACAATAAAGTTGAATTCTATTCTAAAGTCAAGGAAGGAATGAGAAATCAAATGAAGTACTAAATAAGAAATGCTGCAACATTACCAAGCTGTTCTTCATTCAGTGACTCATACCCCCATCTCTTCTTATCCCTCTTTTCAGTTGCTGACTCTAGATATTTTTTTTTCCAAAACAGGTCTGTCAGTGTGTGATGCATGTTCACATTTAAGTTGACATTTTTTTGTAAATGTCTTAAAGCATGGGTCTAAAACGTTTTCCAAACTGATGGAGAGATGGATCACAGCCCCTTTTCTGTAACTTTGAAGTTGAAAGAAAAAATTATTTAATTGATCAAACATCTCACATACCTGCTGCGTTACCTCCACCGGCGCTCTATAGATCACAGCTCCTTCACTAAAGAATCTGTTCTAAAGTATAGCATTTGTTTGCCATAGTTTATGCTTTGCTTTAGTTTTTATCGTTCGCAAACCTTTAGGGGAGTCCATAATTGCTCCAAGATAACTTTATATCGGGAATCTGTATCAATAATTGAAATCGGTTAATGAAAGGCAAAAACCTGACCTTTCTTTGTGTTGACAGGTTAGAAACGGTCACATCAAGAAAATAACTGATAGTGACATTCACTCAACTGTCCTGGAGATTGAGGGAGCAAATGTCAGGTAAGTTGTTTTCACCTTCAAAACGTTTGTCTGTTCAAATTCGAATAAAGTGGGTCATCCAAAAAACAAAAATAAGCAAGCAGATATAAAGAACTTGAAAATAAGTTGTTTAGTGGAAATTAACTGCCATGCTTTAGAGCAGGGGTGGCAAACTGGTTCCAGAAAGAGCCGTGTGGCTGCAGGTTTTCTTTCCAACCAAGCAATGGCACACCAGACTCCATTCATCTCATCAAGTGAGTCCAATCTGAACATGATGACTTGATGAGATGAATGGAGTCTGGTGTGCCATTGCTTGGTTGGAAAGAAAACCTGCAGCCACACGGCTCTTTCTGGAACCAGTTTGCCACCCCTGCTTTAGAGTTTAACATTAAGGCACACATTTTGTTCATCATGCATATTTCATTTAACTAAGAAATGTTATATATATACTTCAAAGTATATTAGTGTGTTTGATTCAATCACTTGTCTGATCTTTCTGACTTTTGAACTGTTCTCTCTGCAGCACCACCTACATATCCTGTCCTGCTGATCCCAAGAAGACCCTCGGAATCAAGCTTCCCTTTTTGGTGATGATTATTAAGAACCTAAAGAAGTACTTCACCTTCGAAGTCCAGGTACTGCCTCTGAGAGCCTTCTTGCTATACAGACTGCTGAGGTTTATGGTCGCTGGTGTTTTATTTCTTCTTCAATATCTTTCGACATCTCTCAGGTGCTGGATGATAAAAATGTCAGGCGACGCTTTCGAGCCAGCAACTATCAGAGCACAACGAGAGTGAAGCCGTTCATCTGCACCATGCCGATGAGGCTGGATGAAGGCTGGAACCAGATTCAGTTCAACTTGTCGGACTTCACCAGAAGAGCGTATGGGACCAATTACACAGAGACACTGCGTGTACAGGTGAGCACACAGCAGAGTTTTTTTTTTCTCCCTTGTCTTTTAGAAATCCGCATTAATGCTTTTTTTTGTTCTAAAAAAATAATTTTCTTTCAGATTCATGCAAGCTGTCGCATCAGGAGGGTTTACTTTTCAGACAGACTCTACTCTGAGGATGAGCTCCCTGCAGAGTTTAAACTCTTTTTGCCTGTCCAGAACCAGAAGGCCAAGGTAAGAGTGCAATCTGGAAAAACATCAGTCATTGCATTTATTTGTTTAAATATTTCTTTAAACAAAACAGTTTTTTTTCTCTAGATGCTCTCTAAAACATTCTTTTCTCTTTCAGCAATAGAACCTGCTTAGCTGTGCCGTGGCCCAAGTATTGGTGGAGAGATTTATTTTGTGTACTGTAGATGTATTTGAAAATAGCTTGTGTACATAGAGCTCTGTTGTGTTCGTGTCTGAAATAAAGATTTTATGGAATCATTTTTTATTTGTCTCTTTAGAGAGATGCTTATTTCATAATTGTTGACCAGAAAAGTGATACATATGCATGTTGATCAATGGCTGCTACGTTATTTAGCAAAAATGGCAAAATCATTTAAAGAAAAAAGCTTTGTTAGTTATAAAAAAGTTACAAATTACAACATTTCTTGAAACATTTCAACAACACTGAATTTTAAGTAGTTATTTTCCATAGGAATAAAGTTGGTTATTTTTTCTCAAATTTGGAAAAACATAATTTATTAAATTTGCTATTTAATATACATGTACTTAAAAATATGAATTAAGCATGTGTTGAATACGTTTTTTAGTTTATGCTGTAACATCAGTTTATCTTATGTTTGGCCTAGCAAAGAAACAGTTTTATATAGTTTAATTCAATTCAGTTTATTTATATAGTGCCAATTCACAACACGTCATCTCAAGGCACTTTACATTTCACCAGATCATACAGTCAAATTGATTCAAAGTTTTCTAAGGAAAACCAGTTGATTGCATCGACTAATTGCCTCAAAGGCAATCCCTCACACCAGGTATGTTTGTAGCGACAGTGGAGAGAAAAAACTCCCTTATAACAGGAAGAAACCTCCAGCAGAACCAGACTCAGTGTGAGCGGCCATCTGCCGAGGCCAACTGGGGTTCAAGGAGACAGAAGTAGAGATGTAAAAGGCGGCCCCCTGTCCAGGAAAAGCACAGCTCAAATAAGGATATTGATGCATGTGGATAACAGATGGCACATATACATATTTCCATGTCTTTCTAATAAGTGTATATGAAACGTTCATTTAATAATCACTTTTAGAAATATATATGTATCTATATATATAATATACTTGCAGCCATAGAGAGCACAGACTTCATATTTATTTATCTTTTTCACCATGAAATACTTTCAAATGTTCTTGTTTCACCTAATAGATCCTAACAAGTGTTTGGTTAATTTGCACGGCAGTTAATTTTCCAACAAATCACCAGAGCAGTATAAGTGATGTTTTACACAACTGATCAAATTAGTCATTAGATGCATTAATAATTTCTTTAATACTTTTCAAATGTATGTTTACATATTTTTATTGGTAAATTGCATTTCAGATATTTTTCCACAATTTCTTTTAAATATTTGTGAGATTTTATAGGAAAACCTACTTTGAATTATTTCCATTTTTAAATGATCACATTTTAGTATTTGGTTTTTGCCCGAGACATCGCAAATCTTGTTTTTTATGTTTAATGGTCTACATGTTAGAACAGTAAATTATAGTCAATTTTAAGCAACATTAATGAAAGTAGTGAAAACAAGATTTGTGCGATTTTAGTTAACATGGCAGCGATACAAATTGTTTTAAAACAACAAAACAGAGCCAGAGGGATAGAAAGCACTTTTAATCAGACAGCAGAAGGATTTTGAACTAAAAGATGACAAAAAAAGAGATACCATCAGTAAGTAAATTCATTCATTTTACAAATTTCTATCAAATAATTCAGAGAACATAAACACAAAATTGTTAAACTAAGATTAACTCTGGTAACTTCAAGTCCACCCCCCAAAAAAACCTCCATAACCTTTACCGTTTGTACTTCAGGTAAGATAGCTAGCTAGACAGCCATGATTTTCCTTTGAATATACTTTTCTGCACATATTTGGCAAACATTAGATGGAGAATTGGATCAATTTGAGCCACGATATTATTGAAATGCATCAGCTATGTGCTGAAATACTCATAAAACAGGATTATTGCATTTTTTCCCCACTTTAACACCTTACTGAAACAGAAACTAACCATACAGTGAAATTACAGCTCTTGATCTTGTTAACTAAACGCAGGCACTTGTTTTTCATAGGGAACACTGATGGGTTTTCTAAACTGGTGTTTCCCCTGCTGTAACTAGTCAAATTTTTATTTTTTGTTGGGGGCTTAACAGCACTGATCAAAGCAAAAATACAAAAACAAAAGGATCTAATACCGGATGAACTATTTGGTGAAAAAGCTGCTTAAGTTGCTGCTTTTGCCAAAACATCAGGACATTCCAACATCTCGTGGAACATCCATCCTAATTAATTTTTCCAACCATAATAATTATAACTTAGGGTAGTGCATTCTTAGAAATCTATTGCTTTTGTTAACAGCATGCAGATCTTTAAAGTGCAAAAGATATACATCATTGGCTCAGATAAAAGAAAAAAAAAGGTTTGAAATGATATAACATCTCACTTTAGCAAAAATATAAACAGCATGGAAAGGTTTTTTAAAGCATGAAATCATTTGACATTTAAAATTTTGTGCAAAGAACATGTAATATTCCAATGCATATCAGGTAATACACCATGGGCTTTTTTTATGGAGCCATGACTCCTCATTCCTGTCCTTGGTCCATTTGATCCTTCTGGGAAGGGATCCTCGCTTCCTTAAAATGTTATAAAGATGATTTTTATTTGAATATTAGAAAACACTATATTGCACAAAGAGGAGAAAAAACATTTTTGGAATACAGGTAAAGAAAATAGTTACTATGACAACTTCAAAATCAGGACATCTGAAAGGGTTCAGCCTTAATCTAGGAAAAAATAACCCATTTATTAAACCAGACTTGTGGCGCTGAGATACACAGAGTGACCTCTTTGCCACCAACATAGACACAAATCTCATTCAGGCTTTCATAGAGGCAATATTTAGTTCTGTTTGCCTGGCAGTGGTTTGTCTTAATTGCACCTGATGTGTGCCAGTTTTGTTTAAAAAATATACATTTTAACTCAACTTTTAATAAATGCTTCTTTGGTGGATTTCATGGAATTCGTTTGCTTCACTTCAGCAAATCAAACAATAAGGGATCCTTTCCTTAAATAGGCATCAAAGTCCAGATTTCGTTTGGGCCCAGGATCAAATCATTAAAGATGAAATAGACATCAAACACAGATGGTGGCAAAGCATCTGGGAGGTTTAGTTTGTCCGAAGGCTTACAAAGGCGGAAGGTACCGTAACTTTGAATAACACCAAGTACTTTCCTGTAATGAACATGTTGCGCTCTTGTCTCATCAAAGTGCAATAATGAAAGCAGAGCCAGCTTTACATTTTCCTTTTGGCTCATTTCAGTTTTTTTTTCTTCTTCCGTTTCTATTTCGTGCTTACATGATGAGTAACATAGTAGTCATGAAAATACATCAGCACAGCGATGGGCTGTCCAATGATGAGCGAGAGCCAGACAGCCGCATTGCCATAGTTTCCGTTCAGGTAGCGACCCACAAACCAAGCCAGGGGAACCTACAGCAATAAAAAGGGAGAATGATTCAGAGAGATGTCATCAAACAACCAACAGGAATGAATGATTGTATGTGTTTTACCTGAGCCATCATTCCCATAAAGGCCCAAAGTCTGAACATCTTCAGGGGAACACTGACCAGGTACTGAGAAAAGAAAATTCCTTTAAAATGATCCATACTGTAAATGGGTATTATTTAAAGCACCGATTTTGAATAATTCAGTCCACATATATTTTATTATATGATGTAAACCTAACACTAAGAAACCACAAGAATGTTTTGTTTTTAAAACCTAGAACAAATGATAGAACCTGAGAATTTTTTTCTAGAGTTTCTGTATTGTAAAAAAAAAAAAAAAAAATTACATTTTGATTTAAAATGAAAGATTATGAGATACAGTTTAAAACAAAGAGAAAAAAAAAACACTGACATAGCCATTCTATCTAAAGCTGAATCATACAATGTAAATCAGATGCTAACTAATGGCAATATTTCCTTAATGTGCGAACAGTGTGCACAGCACAGAGAGGGAACCCACTGCCCAAAACCTGAATGTGCAAAAAAAAAAGCGCCTGCCAATCTGTGCCGCCCTGGGCAGAAAGCCACACCTATATCATAGAGGTGCACTCAAGTATGCTCCCTTAAAAGAAACTAAACTACTGACAACTCTTCACCCACTGATCTACATTCTTTCATATATATTTAAGCTATTTTCCCAATTTTATTTATTTATTTTTGTTCAGTGGTGTTTGCTTTGAAATAAATCAAGGACCAACGCGGCATCGTCTATGAATCTTAAGCCCCAAATGGTTCATATAAAATTTTTGTTGGACTGAAAAATTTATTGAGTTTTTTTCACCTCATGGAAGAAGGCAGAAACTAAGAAGACAGCAGTTTGGGCCAGAAACTTGTTGGTCCCTCTTTTCAGCATTGGCTTATAGAAATGTCTATAAAAAAAAAAAAACAACAGATATAGACAAAATATATTCTTTTAAATCTATAGAGAGCAGAACATGATGTAATATAGCAAAACATATGTCTGATGTAACATATCCAAAGCACTCTTGCCTTAGACACCATTTGTGGACGGGGATATTCCAGTTAGCCCAGAAATACGTTACAGTCTCAGAGTTCCTGAAATATGAAGAAGGGAAACAGTTGAGATTTGTAAAACCACGTAATGTGAATCAAACAAAATAAATATTTTATCATGACCCTTTATCCTGTAATTTTAAATGCAGAATATTTACAAAACATAAAGTCGAAAATAAATCAATTTAATCACTTTATTCCAACAGTTTTCTGCTTTTGACATTTTAAAATATTTATTTTTCTCTTTAGGATAATTAAGGCTAATAAATCATTGGCCCTGTTATTAACTGCCAAGTTTCAGTGGTAATAAAACCTGAAATAAGTTAGAGGCATCTGTAAAATTCTGTTAATACATTTATTTTAGTTTCCTTCTTGTTATTGAAACCTGTAGGAAGTCAACTCACCACCAGTCCCTGTAGAACTCCCTGTCTCCAAACTGCAGCAGCTCTGCCACAAAATTCATAGAAGAGTGGAAAAACCAGTAAAAGAAAATTAACCATATTAGATGGTTAGGGACCTGGGAGAGGAGAGGAGAGGAGGGAAGTGGAATATGGGTGTCTGGGTTGGTTAGATCACAGTACAAATCATACTTCCCAGTGAGAGAAAAACTTTTAATTTCAAGCAAAAAAAAAAAAACTGATGACAAAAAATTGATTTGGTCAAAAAAAATGTTTTTTTTAAGCTTAAATGTTTCACATTGTCAGTTCTTTCTCAACAGTAAGGCTCTGTCAACACTCTACAGCAACTCACAGCTAATTTGAGCATTCGCTCCACCATCCGAGAAAAGTCCATTTCCTGCAACAAGCAAGGAAGAAAATATTTACTCAAATTAATGGATTTCCAGCTTACTAGATATTATAGTCTGAAATAATTATCCTGATTATTTTGTTGTAAAGCAAATGATCATGATTATTATCCAGTGTGTGTTTGTGTAGACATACCCGGAATGGTTTCATTGAGTTTTGAATAGTGGGAACCATCCACTAAAAGACAAGATAAAGGTCAGTCAACAACTGAGCAAATTAGTATGAAACAAACAGCTTAAAACCAACTGGAGAAAACCTCAAATATTTAAAGTGTAGGGTAGCGGGACAGCGGTTCGATTGTGAAAGTGGAATTTATGTTCAATCTGCTGTCCTGACTAAAAATAGGACATTCCCACTGAAAACACAACAGGTCAGACCACAAGACAAACAAACGTATGGATTTTTGTGATAGTCGTTTTGCTCTTAACCAGAGGTGATATTTTCTGGTTACAGGTCGAGTTTGAAAGATCACATTACCGGTAATCAATATATAGGTATTTTTCCCAACCCAGAAACCTTTGGGGAAGCATTTTTCAAAAAGTTTATTATCACTAAGCCCACGATTCAATTCTGAGGGTTAAAAGTGTTTTCTTTCTTTTTAACAGATTATTCTCAGTTTTTACTTATGCCTAAAAAAAAAAAAAAAAGGATGAATACATATTCAAATGCCTTTTAATTTGCCTTTTTGTTGCCAAATTACCCTCAAGTATCTCTGGGTATTCTGGTTTTGACAGAGGGGTCCCGTATCAAATTAATCTAAGAGGCTAGTGTTGTGATTGTAATGCAAAATTAAAACAAACCTGTTGTATTAATCCCACCAACAGCTGCATAAGAAAAAGCTGCAAGAGATTATAATTAACAAATTAAACCAATCCAGCACAACAGTACATCTTATGATATAACATGTTAAACCCCTTATTTCTCTCACCATTTCAAAAAGCCTTCTTATCAGGAACCGTTTTCGTATTCGTGGAGATCGTGGGAAGTTGAGCTGGTAGCAAAGAGTTGGAGCAAACACAAAGTAGTACATGTCTAAAGAAAAATACACAAGATAGGTCAACGGGTGATTGAACACCAAAGACAAAGAGAAGTCCAGTAGCCTTTCATTAAATTCCTAAATTGTGCCTTTGACTGGATTTTTGAGAATCTACAGCAGTGTTTACATCCTAGATTTAACCAGGTTATTGACTAATCCACTACTAATATAACACAGACTAATAAACAATGTTATTTCAAAGACTGGCTGGGTTTGATGTCAACATTAAAATCCTCATTAATGATAAAACAACTTCACAGAATGTGATTGCCCATTATCTTTAATTATATTTGAGAACAAATTTTTTAAATGTATGTATACGTTTTCACGTCAATCTTCTCTTGCTTCGTTCAGACTAAAATTGCAGCCGTGATGCTTACTGTACCTCTGTGTGTCAGGTTCCCTGGGTAGGAGACAAGAGAATGAACTGCTGAGCCATTTGATTGTTGAACATCTGGACCTACAAAACAAAGGAGAATAAAAAAGTCCTTTAACCATCTTAGACTTAGACAGTACTTTATTGATCCCTTGGGAAGACTCCCTCCGGAAATTAAGGTTACCAGCAGCTTACAGGGCAAAAAAGTATTAAGTTAAATTACGTTAAAATTAAGCAACAAAAAAAGTATTAAGTTAAATTAAATTAAAATTAAGCAAAATACATATATCTCCTTTTAAGGATTATCTGCCTGCAAATGATTTATATAAAAGGTAAAACAGATTGAGTTGTAATATTTACCTCCACCAAGGAGGTTATGTTTTAAGGAGAGTCTTTGTCTGTCAGTACGGGATAGCTTAAAAAGTTCTCGACTGATTTTAATGACATCCTTATCAAAGGTGTCACTCATGTCATTAAATTTGGTGATGATTCAGATTACAAGCTGGATTAGGGCTGAACGATTTTGTCAAAAAGCTAAATTGTGTTTTTAACTGTGATTTTATTTAAATTTTTCTTTGCACTACCCCAAGCTTTTGAATGTTTCACCCCAGGATCTCAGCATTTTAAAAGCTTGCTTGTCTGGAGTTCATTGTTGCAGGAATTTTCTGTAACCTTTGTGCGGAAAAAGTTGCATTTAACTCGCATGTAGGGATTTGTGTGCTTGCTGCAACTCTCTATCTCTCTGTGTGGCATCAAACCCGAATTAAGTGTATTACTGCCACCGAAAGGGCTGGAGTGAGTAATTTAGTGTCTTAGTCTTGTTATATGTAATGCAATTAAAATTGAGTGCCCCTGCAATTTGAAAATTGCATTTATTTAAATTTCGGTTATATTGTAATTGTAATGAATTGGCCCACCATAATCTGGATAGGGGAAATTTTTAAAAGATTCTCCAACATTGTGAGACAATGACAATTGGTGGGACAAGCAGTTCCCCACTAAACAAGAGGGTGGCAGCAGAGTATTGACAGCCTGAGTATTGGACTAAAAAAGTCTGATATTTTACTGAAAATAAAAACACAAGAAAAGGGAATGTTGGACTAATAACAAGATAAATTAAAAACTGATGAAAGGATTTTATGTATTTTATTTTATTTTTTTACCACAGGTGTGCTTCATGCTAAGGAACAATTCCCTTTAATGGTGGAGGAGGATGTCTGTGCTCTGAGTGCTCTTCTAGTTTATTTCCACTAATTACATACACAGATTTTTGCACCATCAATAGATAATAAAGACGCTCTTGAATATAAATTAAACATAAATAAACAGAGCTAGATCTAAACTTCAGCACAGAAGCATTCACTTACATGAATATGATCGTGTTAGTCTTTTAGCTTTGGCTTGTCTGATTTCTCTGCACCACCTGTTGGCGTCCTGATAAGAGTAAAGCTTGAGAAACAGCACTGTGTAGATTCCTAGAGAAAACACCCCACCCACTGACAAACACAAACACACCACCACATGAACAGTTAACAAGAATGAATAACCAAAGATAAACTCCCAAAAAAATATATATATATATTTGGCTTTGAATAGTCAAGATGAAAAAACATTTTGAGATTATGTCCTCTTTTGGTTGTTTTAAGCTAAAATTACAACTCAGCAAAAAGTCACGGTGAAAGCTTAGAGTTGGCATGTTTTGTATTTAAACATACCTGGGGTCATGGAGGTCACAGTGAGGACTATGGCAGAGGAGAAAATCAACATGCATACAAGGTTGAACATGTGGAGAATCCATCCTGTAGTTTCAGAGATCGTACCCTGGCAAATATAGCAGAGTGTGCGTCATCTCTCTACGCTCAGTGAATTTGATGTTATCCATAGTCCAATCTAGGTCAGAGTTTCTTGCCTTATCAGAGCAGTTAGAAATATGAGGACTGGTCGACTAATAAAGCATAAAACAAAAGCCATAAAAGAACGCCATAAAGGCAAAGCTGATTATGATGCTTGAAAACAATAAGAAGAAGTTTAAACTTTCTAAAGTAAAAAAAAAAGAAAAAAAAGGCCTTAATATACAATAAAGACCTACCACCGCCAGACGCCTCTCTACATATAAGCTTGTCAGGATGAACAGGTTGGACCCTGAAGCAAAAAGGGAAAACTGGTTTATAGGCTTTCTTGATGACTTCTTAAACACATTTATAACATATAATACATAACTTTTCTATATCACTCCAACTATATACAGAAATATAGTAGCATGAGAAGTACAGGTGAAGCTTTTATTTATCTACATTTACAATAATAAACTCTGCAAATGCCAAATGCCATTCAAAGTATCTAAAAAAGCAAAGATTTATAGTAGAGCATATCTGTAAAAAGAAGCAGTTAAAGGCAAAGAACTCATAACTGGTTGTGATGTGGGGCAGTCTTGTTTCTCTCCACTGTCGCCACATGGTTCCTCAGAAGGAAGAGGAGGCTTTTCTTTTGTTTGTAAGCTGAATTTGACTGTTCTGTATTATCAAGGACTTAAAAAGGAATCAAATGTAGTTGAATTTTAATCTCTCTATATGACTGGATTACATATTTCTAAACTGCACCCAGTGAACAAAAAAAGCTATTTGTCTAGCAAATACTTTAGGCTTCTAATCTTATGAAACTAATTCTATATTGTGATTATAAAATAAGGATTTGATCTGTACTGTCCTAAAATATTTTGTCGGCATATTAGATGAATAAAAGCTGTACTGATTTTATGTTACTCTGCTGTTACTGCAGACTTAAAACAAGCGAGTTCTCACTTTCTTATGCTTCTACTTAGAAATTCAATTTACTGCATGTTTAAACCGATGCAACACAACAGAACACCTCCATGCTGTTTTTCAAAAGGGATGAATTGAAATTATTTTTTTCAGTAAAGGGCAGACAGTTTTTGGATCATTTGAGCATCACTTCCAGAAATTACATCTTTCCTTCTGCAGTGCTCTACAATTAGTACAATAGTGCTATTATGTGGATTCTCTTATTCTATTGACCTTATAAAAAGTTCAAAAACAACACAGTAAACAAGCACAATTAGTTCCTGCTACTGAGATCAGACCTATATCAGACCTAAATCAGTTTTATACCCTATCCAGTATGTAAAAATAGAAGATAGCAAATAGTTAAATGACTTGTTCTCTAGATCTCACCTTTCTAAAAATAAGTTGGTAATAAAATCCACAGAGATGAAAGCCACTTTTTTGCATTTCATTTGTGTTTTAGAGGTTTGTCTGTGCCTGAGAGGAACAGTGACCCAATGTTAAAACTGACAAATTCACAAATTTAATGTCAAAAAACCCAAAACAAACAAGAAAAACATTGGTTTATATTAGTGCAATAAAAATAAAGCTACATACCAATTATTAGGCAGGCTGCTGGCCAGCTATAAGGGTCCTTTAAGAAAAGAGACACTACTTGGATTGGATCTACTAGAATGCCATATCTGGAGGAAGAATACAGGATAAATTAGTTCTACAGGAATGTTTTAAATAGGAAATAGTATGGTAAATAAAGTGAAATGAACAGTGTGGATTAGAATAATTATGAATCATAATTAGAATGTAATTATGATTCTGTACAGTCATGCATTAATTTTTAAATACACAGTATATTCAAAGAGAAGAAAACATTTGTTGAATGAATTCATAACTCAAATCTTTGCAAAAAAAAAAAAATCTTATTCGTAATAAGAATGGACTGCATGTATCTAAAGTTAGTCGACCAAAGATATCATAGCATAACTGGATTTACATTCAGCTCCTCGTTTAGACCAGTCACAAAAAACATCTAAAGGGGAAATATGTGAAATTTGAAATAAACTGGTGGAGAGGTCGCGGAGATCAACTGTTACTCTGGAGATTTAAAAAAAGATATTTTCTTAAGCAATTTTATAACTCATAACCAAAATCAATCAGCCTAAATGGTATGGTATGCCACTTTTTCTTTCCCGTTTTTAAAAAATAACAAAAGGGGACCTCTGTATCACACTAAATTTATTCTCCAGAGAATAAGAAAGTAATGGATTACAAAATAAAACATTTTAGAGATGCTGAGGTTAAATTTCTTTTAGAAGTCATTAGAATGACAATTACTGTGACAACAGTGATTTTGTAAAAAACAAACAAACAAATAGGAAACGATTATGGTAAATGGAAGCATTTTCATTAAGGATGACAATAAGTGCCGAGGTCACCGCTAAGTAACTGTTAGTTCAAAGTTTTTAATAATTAATGATTAGTTGGAAAACTGGAGGAGGGAAATTTAAATAAAAACATGTAAGTGTTCTGGTAATATAGTCTGTATAAATGTGGCTTTTGTATTTGTGAACACTCACTTGATAATGTTCTCCAAGAAGAGTCGCGCGTTACTAAGCACCTAGAAAATAAAGCAGTAAATGATGAGTTAATTACAGTCAAAGAGGAAATCTTTTCTCCAGGCATTTCAGTGAGACTGAACTTTGCTAAGACGATAAAAAATTCTCCCTTTTAAATCTCCTAAATCGTTTCCCATTCTATGAACTCTCAGATTAGCCGTGCAGACTGACCTGTTTTCCTTTCACTGAAAGCTGAGTTACTGATTGTTCTAAGCAAGAACAGGAAAACTGAGGATGGTTAAAGAGTCATTAATTTAAGGACCCTTATTTACTGTTTGTACATTTACAATTGCAAACTTGAGATTGCGATACTGGCTTGAATCCATTTGCTGTACATGCCACACCCACATTTTGATTATTTTTTACAAATCAATACATTTCCTTGGTGTCTAATTGACTGTGCTGTTTCTTGTGGTTGTATTCTGTGGTTTCCTCTGTTTTGCTCTAATGCTCTGATCTGACATTATAAATACCCTTGTGTGTCATTTATTTATTAGACCAGTTATGTTTTGTTTGTGCTTTCTGATCACTTTTAGGAGCTCATAATGGGTAGTAAAAAAAACAAAAAAAACAATAACTATACATCTCATAATTCCCATTACTCCTGCTTACAGGCATCAGTCCCATCTGTAGAACATGGCAGCTCAGTCCTGCTGCCATCCCAACTGCAGTCATACAAGATCCTGCTGTTGCTCCTGATGTTGGCTTAAAACACTTTATGATATTGTTACACATTTAAGTTCAAAGTTCAGCTTCACCTCAGCTTCTAGGAGATAAAACTGATTACAGACTCAGCAAAGAGGTAACATGTTTAGATAGGTCTTTGGCATGCATGGTTATCAGAAGGCAGTATTGGGATAAGTGTGTCATCTGAGGTATATGATACAGTCATGTTAAAGAATAGGGGGGGCAGCTTGTAAAAGTCCTGCAGAATAAAATAGTTAAACTCTCATTGCGTCCCCTGTTAGAACCTTCTTGTCTTTTTGCTAACCTTTGCCATGGTAACCTTTAACATAAGCAAGAGGGCCATCATGTAAAACAGAACAAAGGGATCATTGGTCTTTGCCAAGCAGAGGATTGCAAAACGGGTTTCTGCAATAGTTCAGCTCTACCAATGTGTCTATTTTCTGAAAGGACTGAGAGGTTAGTATGTAAGGAGAGCTCCTATTCATAATATACAGGCCCCCGCTAACTCACATCTTAACAACAACATAAGTTACTAGAACTATGCAGCTCACACACAGCTATACATTATGATGTCACCAGGTGACTATGAACCCATTCAATAAATCACTGCATGATAAGGCAACATTTTTTTCAGACAAATTCAAACAATTTTAATAGTTTTAGAGCAAAAGAAGAGTGTTCAAACATTGGCACACAGCTTAACTAATACAACTTAAAACCACTGGCTGAAAATCTGGCTGTAGTTCCTTCAAAAGCAACATAAAGACAGAAAAAAGGTTAGCCTTGCATTGCCTAAAGAACATCTCCAGGATTAAAGAAAAAATAGCCCCATTTACACCAACCCTCTGGAAACTGAACCGTGCCGAGTTCGGACAAAGCTTTGATCAGTTAACCGTGCCGAGCCCAGTTCCTTATGACCGTTTACCCACACCTCCTAGTGGTGATCTACGAACTACTGCTCTTGAGGTAAACAAGCAAACCAACATGGTGGCGCCTGTAATATTCAGGAATTTATGATTCGTTGTCCTTGTGATATTTCGTTGATGCAGAGTCAGGGGAAAAAGGCAGCCTTTGGTGAATTAGTTGACAGAGTCGGCTTTTGGGAAGTGAATACTACAAACAGTCTAATCTGGGCTTACAGACGCATGAAACAATGACAGACGTTGGGGTTCCTCACACTGTTCAGTAGAAGTGTGATGAAAGCTAGCGTTTTTATGAATGTCTGAAATTTCCTGATTACAGAGGCTGACTGTAAGGAGATGACGCTGGATGCTCATGCGCTCTTTGTTATCTGAGAACAGTGCCAGATCTGAACCGCGGCGAGACCTACTGATGAACTAGTACCATTTTAGCGAGGTTCGGTTGTGTCTGGTGCAGTTCTTTGTGTCATTTACACTCAAAAGCTATCTCGTTTAGTGCGCTTGGAATGATCTCAGCACAGTTTCAAAAGGGCAGTGTAAATGGGGCAATAGTCTCAGCAGGACCTTGAAAAACGACTTAATGCGTCATCTTTAGTAGAACTGATCACTGCAACAGTGTCTTCACACATCTGCTTAAAGAGCTGATCAGACAGCTGCAGCTTTTCCAAACTACTGCTGCCCGGGTACTCACTAAAACTAAGGAAGTGAAGCACATCACCTCAGCTCTAAAATCCACTAGTCCAACACTGGCTCCACTTATTTTAGAGAATAATCTTTAAAATACTTCTGTTAGTCTATAAATCACTGCGTGGCTTAGCTCCAAAATACATTCCAGAATTGATGTCAATGTATCAACCCCCGAGACAACTCAGGATTTCTGGTTCTAGTCAACTCTGGATACCCAGTACCAGATTCAGACATGGAAAAGAAGTTTTTTGTTCTTAAGCTCCACACATTCCGGAACAAACTTCAAGAAAGAAGTAAAAGTGTTAAAAACCAAGTAGATCAAAAATAAAAATGTATTAGCCCAGAGTCTTTTGACTGTACTAGTTAAACATAGGTAGTTTAGGTTTGTAGTCCAACTTTCTTTTATTATCAATCGCCTTATTATTTCTTTTCCCTTTGTAAAGTACATTCAATGTATATCACATTGAATTGTCTTGCTACAGAAGGGTGCTATTATGAATTAAGTTGCCATTACCAGGTGAGACTTAGATTGAATAGGAGGTTAACAGAGGAAATGTGACAGTTAGCCCATGGCCTTTGGGTTTGGATGCTTTGATCTCAGCTGCAATTGATGTGAATCTCCCCTTAAAGGGGACACCCAAAACATGATTAGCCTTCATTTTCTACTCACCCCCATGCTGAACAACACTCTGAAGTACTTTTTTGATATCTCAAATGCATCTGGAGATCTGGGAGGCTTCTTGCTGTCTGCTGACATTCAAATAATGGAGGTCTATGGCAAGCGATATTGAAAGGTCCATAAAAGTCCACAAAAACGGGTCAATATTCCGCCATCCTGCTCGTTCAATGTATTCTAAGTGACCG